CCCCAAAACCCCAAAACCCCAAAACCCCAAATAATCGCTCAAAATTTGAAATCTTAACTTGATGAATCAGAAACCATTCAATCAAAGATTATTTGATATCATCGCAACGAAGGAGTACATGACTATTATGTACGTTATGATGTTTGTGATACTCAAGAATTTCATTTATCAAGGAATGGCGAGTGGGGGTACTGGAGCCAACTGGTGTTATTTCTTAATTCATTTCTATATGTCGGTAACCAATCTCCTCTTCTTTTTAATGGCAGCTTCTGAAGTTAGAATCACAATTCTTATAAAGAGAAATTCTATAGCTCACAATGGAAATCCCAACTGGGCTGCAAATGGCCATCCAAATGGCTATCCAAATGCTGTTCCTAATGGACATCCTAATCCTGCTGTCAATGGTCCTCCTCCTGTAGTAGACAATGGTCCTCACAATCGTATGGCTGTTGTTCCCATTAATAATCCTGCAAACGGAGAAGCGAGAGTTCCTGGAGCGAACCCCTCTTCTGAAGCTGGACCCACTTGGCTGCTGATACTTTCCATTTTCATTGGGTTCTTTTGGTATGCCTTGTTCTGCTTTTTGCAGAACACCAAATCAGAAACTAGGAAACCTGACAATGCTACATTAAAGAAAAATCTACTGATAACTTGAGCAGGCTCTTCATTACAATGGCTGCTTTATATTCTCCTCCCAGTTTTCATTGATGGCAGGAGTGGACCAGACTTTTGGATCCCATTTCTTATCATGCTCTATTATCAAATGTTTTGCTACTCTATTTATTTTCAGACAAGGGCCTATCTCTTTGAGGTTGAATGGCTGCCGTACTTCTCTCCAATCACTTGGCTCTTTTTGATTGGAGCTTATATATCCATGATCTGCGGTACGAATTCGAATCAGCCAAATGGAAACGCACAAGGACCAAGGATAAATCAAAACCCAGCTGGCATGGATCATGAAAGAGGCCTCATTAATCCACCTGCAGACTTCCAAATGGTCCAAAACGGCAATCCTCCTACCCATCCTCAAGATAATCCCCTCGAAAATCCTAACAGGAGCCATCATGGGAACGATTACAACCAAATTCCAGACGATCCTGAAAAGAACCCAAGAAAATCTCCAAAAACGAATAACTTTATAGACGACAACAATCCTGACCGAGGTAAGTCAAAAATGACTGAACTAACCATAAACCTACCCCCAAACTATACCATCAATTCTTACCTAACCCTAAATCTCTCAACCTAAAGTCTAAACATTCCCATTTATACTTCACCCATCATTAAGTAAGAAATGAAATAAGTTTGATAAAGGATGAACAGATTGCTTAATTTGTGCGTAGAGGTTGAGAGTTGGAATAATCCTCCTGCTTCGCTTGAGATATCTCTACTACAAATTAGTGGCAAACCCAAGCTCTTGGTTAGCTTGGGAGGAGCCGCCCAAGCAGGGATAAGAGGGTTTTGGGATCGAACCGAAATTGTTTACAACTTTTAGGATTTGGTGGTAGTCTTAGCATTTTTGGAGGGAAAAGTGGGGGTTGGGGAAGATTAGTCAGGGAATCTTAAGTGGATGGGAAGGGTACTTAATGTGAGAAGTTTGAGGGTTTGAAACAGATTTATACAAATTTTTTAAACAATTTAGGAATTTCGGCGTTTCAAAATATTTCTGACATTAATTAAAAATTGTTTATGCACATTTATGAGTTTTTACTATAAAAACAGTGATTAATAAAATTCCGTCAGGAGCATCTCAGAAACCCCTTCTTGCGCATAGTCTCCCTTAAAACTGTTCGTTTCATATCATACATCTCCCAATTTATTTCAGTCACCTCCAAGCACTCCAGACCCAAAACTACACTCTCCTCTCCCAACCTCTCATCAATCACTCCTTCACTATAGATCCAGAAGGGACTCCTATAGATACCAACAGTAATGTCTTCCACCCCAAAGATGAAGAAGAATAAGCCCAATAAAGTATTTTCACTAAGAAAACTTGGCCTAAGCCACTGTGCTCTCTTCTACTCGCTTATTTGTAGCTCATCTTGCTGAACAAGCCTGTTTAAGAGAACTTCTTCGGGTTTAGATTTGTGTGTAAGGGGTGAGAATTTATGTTGGAGATTATATGGGGGTTTTGGAATACTCAATGCTGGCTGCTCTATTGGGGTTTTGGGGTTTTGGGGTTTTGGGGTTTTGGGG